ACCTCGCCCCCCCCCCCCTCCAGGGCTGCGGTGTGATTGCCGTCAGTCGTTGTGAGAATATACAGTACTTATGTTATTACTTTGTACTCGTGGATATTTCCTGGTGTCGGCCTCGATGATAGTCTCTGCAGCAGCCTGACAATAAAGAGTCAGAAAACACACACGTTTATATTCATAGAAAAGCTGTCAATATATTTAAATATGTATTTGGGATAAATTCCGTGATTGTCTTCATATATTGTACTTTTTCTGTCTAAAATATCCATTAAGGAAGGTTAATTTTCAAGTTTTTTAAAATACATTTTAAAAAGTACAAACAATTATAGTATAAATATAGTACCGCTTTAAATTAAAATTTAAAAATGTAAAAGTGTCAAACTTGCATCTATCATGTAAATAGGTGGCTCGGGGGCTGGAGATGGACCACAGCCTGCCATTTGGGGGCAACTACTTTGTACAAAAGTATTTTTTTGCTAGCACACTTATATCGTTATGACGTATTTGTATAAAACAATGTAGTATTTAAGGACGCGTATTCACGAGACATGGAAACACAAATATAGCGACGTTCCGTACAACAGTTTATATTTTATTCCCCCAAACCACAAATCACTGTTGTCCCTGTATCTATGTATAACCACAACCCACTGGGACTGAGTAGTACTGAGGAGTATTAGTCATCCAGAGTGAGTACAGGTCTGAAGTATCTTTACGTGTGCTAATGCAGTGAACCAACCACTGTTTATGTCCAGAACTGTAACCGTTTCCTCGTTAGTTCCACATCAACACAACAAGAAGGCAGTACTGCGTTCTCAGGTGAATCCTACTTCAGAGTCGTGTTCTACTCCGCTGCTCCGAAGCCCAGTTGGTAGGAGTTGTGTACCATTTCTAAAATAACTTTGTAAAGTTTCACGGTGTCATATATCTGTTTCACAACACACAACTCTGTAAATTGTGGCTATGACACATGTCAAGGTTCTCCGTGCGGTACGCTGGCGGTTCCCTAAGTGGTTCCTCCAGCGGTTCTCGTGGTGTTCCCTCTCAGAGCAGCTGCACAGAATCCGGGGCCAGTCCTCTGCAGAGCTGACTGTTCTGCTTCCAGGAGTCGACCAACCCAGGCAAATGGAGTTCAGCTTTTCCAGAGATTTCAGGCTCTCAGGATCAAACACCGTTGCTAACGGGCGGCCTCGGCAGGCAGGCAGCGAGCGGTCACCACAGCAGCGGCCCCTGGGCCAGAGGGAAACACCCTCCCTGTGGCTTCCCTCTCCTAAATATTAAAGACCTGGCCTTCCCCT